ACAACAAAAACCTGCGGGGAACTCTGCAAAAAACGCATCTTCGCACGGGCAGCCCGTGCGTTGGCCATTATTATTTTTGACAACAGTCTGCAAAGGTGACGCGTGGGGGCAGTCGTATGTTAATGAAAATTTTTGGAGCTCACACTTCACCGTGAGGAAGCAGGGCCGGAAGCCAGAAGAATGTTGACAAGCTTGGAAGATTTAATGTTTTCTGAGGGTGCAACGACAGCGAGATGGGAGACAACTTTTTCCTCGCGGAATTTGGAAAGGAGAAATGTTCGGATCATGTTAAAAACTAATAAACCGAGAAAGAAATGATTAACTGGTAGTAAAGAGCTGCTATTTGAATTGCTCTGAGGTCAATGTTGATGGCTGTGAGCAGCACTAATTGAACTTTTTCTGAGTTAATTCTAACTTCGAAAACTCGAAAGGGTAATGCATGCATCCTGCGAAAACTTGCCTTATTCATTCGTTTCATCATCTGGCAAAATTCGGGGAATTCAATACTGCCACTACCGTCGAAATCCACTTCATTGATCATATCCAGTAATTCCTGTTCGGTTGGATTCTGTCCCAGTGTTCGCATTGCCACACCCAGTTCTTTGGATGATATCGAACCATTACCATCCTGAAAAAATGCAGCTCAGTTGAATGCAGCTTTTCTCATCATCAGCAAGGATAAAATCATATTGTTGTTGTTTTTTTTTTTCACTTGAGCTCACGGGGCAGGATATCATGGACTACTAGCTCAGTTCCCCGAACGATGTAAGCTTTTTGGATTCAATTCCAGAGCAAAGCACATATAACATATCATCTGTGTTTTCAGCAAAAAAATAATGTGCCGCTCCATAATACGATGCACCTGCTCACCCAGGCAGACACTTGGTACCATTCCTGTCGGCACAGTGGTTATCATTTTGCTTATTTTATGCGACGTCATATTCTCGACTTGACAATGAACCGAGTGATGAGTGACGTCAGAACACAACAATAGCTTTTTTTTATTCGAACATTTACTTTTTCCAGAGGTCCTAGAACAGCTGACTGAGGTGCTAGCAAGACCGGTGCTGTGTGCACTGTGTAACCGGATACTTCCCACTGTAACAGTCCGGCATGGCAAAAGTGTTAAATATTTGTGTTTTACAAATACAGTCATTTAAGCAAGCACACTACCCTTCCTGAAACAGCATGGTAACACTGACAAGTCATACGATAAGTCTGATGCTTAATGAGTCATTAAGAATTTTTGCTAATCCAGAGAAAATCGGACCTTATCAAATAACCTGAATGCCTCGCGATATTCGATAGCTTCCTCCTCGCTGACGCCTTCCAGTTGTTCGTTGTTGGTTTGCTGTTTCCACCTGTTGAACAACGACATCTTGCGACTGTTCGACATTTTTGACACTGAATCCTAAGTTCCACTGAGCAGCGTCGAGTTTCTCTTCCAAACAGATTCCTTGGAAATTTCAATATACAGACTACTGTAGCAGGGGCAACAGTGGACAACTGCCTTCCTTTAAAGAATTTTACGCCTGAAATTTTAAACCATCCAGAAATTTTTTGGTAATCGAACTGGTTCTTCAACGAACGACACTTTATCGCCAGATCTGGTCCCCTAACTTTTTGCATGACACGCCATGCTAGATACTAAGTGGTTCGAATTGAGTCTCAGGACACCAACGAGACAAAACGAGTGAACTGATAAAACATATCATCAGTGCCATAAAAGGCATTTTATCCTTAGAAAGGTGCTCCAAAATAAAAATATTCCTACAAAGCACCGGTCAGCAAGTGGCTGAATCCTAACAATATTTAACACCTCATATAGAACTGCAGCCAGTCAGCTGATGAAATACAGCAAATTTTGAATGAAATACCACTCCTTTGTAAAATCAAAAACGTTCGCTGCGCTTCGCCGAAACGGCTTTCTGCTCATAGAGCCTGCCCTCACGGCTATTCCTGCATAATTCATTACGGTAAATTTATTGCTTCATTATATCCGAAAAAAATATCTTAGCCTCTACTCCTAGATTCAAATTTTTACAAAGATGCGCGTTGAGTGATAGCTTTCTGAAATTTTTATCTGGAAAACGAAAGAACAGTATTTACAAAAGCGTTATTTCCAAAAATTAACTGGAGCTTAGGCTTTCCCTTATTAGAAAATGCATTAAAAATGATCTTCTGTTTGGAAACTTTAGCTGCGCAAGTAATCCTGGATAACAGTCAAAATATATGCATGTTTCGTCCTTTCTTTTCTATACAGGATTTTCTTTTGTACAGTGAACGTAGTTCTGCGACCACTTTTGCCTCACTGTGTGAGGTAAAGAGAGTTACTTCCGAGTGCCTCCTTTTCTTTCGCTTCAAATGAATACAAAGGGAATTTTGATTTTAACTTGAATTTAGCAACAAAAGTTTATTGTCATCCATAGAAGTTTGTTGATAATATCACCGTTTCTTTGGGAAATGTGGCACTTCAGCGACTATTGCGAATTTAATGGAATCGAAAATCAGGTGATAAATTTTTATTTTCAAAATAAGCTTTTTGAAGAAAATGCTTGGAACTCAATAATTTCAAACGATTTGCACCATATCTTGTCTATATTTCGCCCTTAGATGTTTTGGTCCCTTTGGGACGTTGGGAAAGCTGAATTATTAGCATAAAAGCAATTTTGGAAATCAAATGTCCAGAACAGTAGCTCTATAGGCGATGTGATAACCACAGCAATAAAACTACCTACAAGAGTAAGCTGCCCTTCTCCCCATCCACAGCCTATGAAAAGTGAAGGCACTCGGAAAATATCTCGGGCGATAGCCAACAGCAGCCCAGCCGTGGCAGTGATGCC